TGCTTGTCGTCTTGAAGGGTGATATATAGTTGACTGTTGCGGTTTACCCAAGTGGTGGCTTAGGTGACAAGGGATGTAGAAAAGTCAAGGGACGCTGACAGTAAGGACATAAAACAGAGCTTTCCCTTTTAAATTTGCAGTCCTAAACAAAGGGATGACCGGAGTACCGAAAACGACCTTCCACGGATTAACAGTTTAATTTAAAAACAATTATATATTGTATTAACAGTCTTAATATAAGTTAATTAAATCCATTACCATCGTATAATTGGAGCAACCCTTCCGTCAAATTGACGGGTTCCGTAAATCTAGCGTTAAAGTCTACCACTCTCGCTCTTTTCATACACAAGCTCTCTTCTTTGGACACTCATTTTCCACGCGACCTCGTCTTCGGTTGGTCAGATGCTACAGACAATTGGACAAATTCCTAGATTTTCGTTCATTGCTTACACTCCACCCGGTCATAAGTATCTCATCCATACAATTCTTGCATGTGATCATCCCTCTATCCACATATACTTCAGATGTTACCCTAAATGTCTAAGCCGTACTCGATACCGCTCTTAGCCGTATTATGCCATTCAATGACACCACGTTGGTATCATGCGCAAATGATGACTCAGTCCTATCGGCACCTAACGACAGAATCCTGATTAGACAATGAACGGCATAGTGTTAATCCTTTCGGTACTACTGCCGCATGAAACATTCTCTGGGTTCTACCGTCGCCTATTGGCGGCATGCACAAAACGTCACCTATGACTGTCGTGGTCCGAATGAAAAGTTTACTGTCAATCACGCTCGATGTTTCTATGAATACCGCGAAACACGTTTTCGTGGCTTCCAGTGCAACCACGCTTGTGGAAAACTTCCTCGTACCACGAATATATAACCGCGGCCAGCTCCTCCATACCGAAAGGGTTTAAGAGTGTTTCTTTTGCTTAGAGTCCTTCCTAGCTCGCAATACCATGTATAATAATCCCGCGATTTCGAGCGCAACCGTACAAAGCCGATCGTTGTCATAATCGCGATAATAATCGTGATAATAATCGTGATCGTGATCGTAATCATCCGAATACGATAACGATCATAACCTGTCCGAAGAGAGGAACTGCGACTGTCGCGATGCTGAAACCGGAAGCAGATTGGAAGGACACAGGCGGAAAGCGCGCGAGAGGGAGGAGTGTCTGTTTCTCAAGCTTATCGTCTGACTTCCGCGAGGCGACAAGGGGGCTCGGTTACGCGGTTTCCCTGCGAAGTAGTAGACGCGGTCGATTGGTCAGACACGAGGGGATGCGTTACTCGTGGAAACGCGAAACCAAAAGCGGGAACCCGCTCGCGTGGAATGACGGGGAAAGAGGGGACATTGCGCGCGGGTGGAGTCACGTTTAACGACTCGTGGTGCTGTGCGGGTAACGCTGCAGGGCTGGAGGGATAAAAAGGACATAAAGAAAGAGAGGGACGACGGCGGTGGAAGGAGGATAAAAGAAAACAGGGTGGAAAGGACGAAGGATTCTCGAGGTACAGTGTTTGGTAACAAAGAGGCAGAGATCGAAAGCCAGAGACGAGGTCTTGTTTCTATCTGGGCGAGCGCGAGCTCGGATGGCAAAGAGATTTTTAGAGATAAAGACGGTAACGAGGAAGGCGACTTGTAAAGGGAACATATCGGCCTGCGCCAGGATGTCACTCCGCGCCCTTTATTCCCTTTACCGCCAAACATTCGTGCCCTTTGGCTGGTGAACTAGACGAAGGAAGAGTGTTTCACGAGTCCACGCTTGGCGATCGTAAAAGGAGCGCGCGAGGACGATGCAGGGAAGCGTGGAAGATGTCACGAACTACCCCGACCTGGTGCCGCGACGGTGAGGGTCGAAGAAGGGGTAGGAAGAGAAAATGCCGCAACAGGAAATTTGAATTAAAGCCGGTGGACGGAAGAAAGGGGTCGCCATAAATCTTTTTACCGTCGTCAAACGGGAAGAAAAATCCCTCGGGGCTGCCGCACGCCGGCCTGGAAACCAACGTTGGAATGGCGGAGAAAGGCTGCGAAGAAGGGTCGGGGAAGAAGAAGGAGCAGAAACGGGTCGCGCGACGAATCCTCTTTCTCGGGCTTTTTGCAGGCTACCCCTCTAATTTACTAACCTTATCGGCCTGTTTTCGAGCCACGCCGCCAAAAACAAAGGATCCTTGGCGGCGCGGTGACTCTGTTTTGCGACCGGCACGGATGGCCGGTCAAAGGCGCGCAAATTACGCGCGGATACACAACACCGGAAGCGAGATTACCAGGTCACGTTCCACGTACGCTTCGCGAGCTGCGCGTACGGCGGAATTGAAAGAGAAACGCGCCGTTTGAAACGGCGGAATAGAAAAGCCGACGAATGGGCGTAGGCGCGAGGAAGGAAGGCGAGTTCGGTTGTTTCGTTAATTAAACGAAGCTGCGTATCCGTCGCGAACAATTAACCGGGGCGGTTTGACGAACCGAGGGACTCGCGTCGCCTCGACTCGCTAACTTCGACGAATTCTTCAACTGCGGGGTGGCATTGTCTGCAGCTCGAGGATTCTACCGTCGAGGGGGTTGGAAGCCGGTTTCTTTGGCTACTTGGAAAATTATGCAGCCGCGTCTTCTGGCTTTTGTCGAGGAAACGGCAAGTGCCGCTGAAAGGTGCAATTTAGGGGAACGTTGCGTTTCTTGCCGCGGCATGTGGTGTTTACGGGGAAGTACGATTGGCGAGGAAGGGTCCTGGATTAATCGGGGGATGAATCGAAGGTGCCGGTAAAAAGATTCTGCCGGCAACGACGGAATTAACGGAATAATCTCGTCTCAGGCGAGGCATAAGAGCGGTGAAAAAGCGTATCTCGGTATCTCTGTGTCGTTAATCGCGTTATTAATTTATTATAAAAGATCAAACGTTTGCACTATGAGCAGGGATCTCGCGTATCCGGTACGACGGTGAAAGAAACCAAGACGAACGAAATTAACGCGAACTTTGTACGAAATTTTGAAGCTCGGGACAGCCCTGTTCTTTTCAAGAGGACCCTCGCTCTACCGATGTTAATACCGATACTCGCAGGTGGTAGAAGTACTCGAGAGAAATAGTTGAAAGATCTCCCGTGTGTTTTGTTTTCCGAGCGTCGTTTTACTAACACGCAGGGATTCAAAAATTAGAAAGAAACCCCTATATATTTTGCGAATTTTACAGAAGTATGCATTCTTAATAACTCTTGTAGGAACGGGCGCTTGTCTTTCTCTGAATAACACTTATTACATTAATTAAAATACTGTTCATTTATACTCAATAGCAATTCTCTTATGACTCTCTTCTGACAATCTTGAATTAATATTTTGACTGCCACGTTGGTCATATATATGACTGGTCACGGTTTCTCCTGTGACGCCAGGGTAGTCATTGGTGACCGGAGCGCTCGAGCTACTTCAAGTAAATTAAACTACATTGAATGAAAATTAACAGTTGGTGCATTTTGAATATAACCACTAATTAGAAGATACTTTGAAATAAAAGGTGCCGCATTGAACAATTAAAAATTTTTATTAGTACATCAAAGACAAATTAGAACAAATCTTGCATCTAGCGGTGCACTCCCATGGCGTCCTGAGAGGAACATGTAATTTCGGTTTGGCAGTCAATGAATTAATCCCTTGACATCTCTTTTTACACACAATCTCACCACGCTCTCACTACCTTCTGCCAGGTGTGCAAAAATTCGAGAAACTCGTTCATTCTTCTCTCCCTACAGCTAGTCTAGGCTAAACTCTGTCAATACCACGCTCTTATACTCCCCGAACGCTTAAACATTTGGAAGATGGGATTCCTCGTAGTCTGTCGATTCGCTGGCGCAAGACAAACGCGGATGGTTAACCCATCCGTTGCCACTGACATCGCGCTCCTTGCAGCTCGCTGCAATAACCCCCTTGATCCCCGTCGGACTGGTAACGTTCGTTATCGCTTAAAAGTGCGGAAGAAAAACGAAGGTGGAAGTGGATACTTTGTATAAGAGACGGCGGACGTTTGTTACCGCTGTTTTCGCTGCCTGTCTGCCACTCCCGTTGCGGAGGGTAACCGGATACGAGGCGGTGTTTAGACGATCACGGGGTGGCCGCGTTTAGCGTGCCCCCTGTATCGCTTATTCTTCGTTTCGCGGCTTAAACGCGTATCCGTCTTGGCTCTAGTTTCTCCGCGTTTGCTCCTATTCCTCGCCAAAGTCGCCGCGTTTCCTCGCCTTTCTCTCTTCCCAATCGAATTTCACCCCTAAGAACTCGATACGGAATTTCCGCAGCGGCAACTTTCTGCCGCAAAAAGTTCCGCGTCGAGGTGTGGAAAATGTTAAACGCGGAAACGCGAGAGAAATTTGAATAGAAGTTTTTCATTCCGCTTGCAGCCCACACGCGACCGCGCGCGTGCACACGTACGAGCGCGTACACCCGGTCGTTCGCTATGCCTTCAGCTCCGAATTAGTCTGTTACGCGAACGGTGCACGCGAGCAACAACGTCAGGCTCAACTTGAAATTGAGTTGTCATCCACTCGCCAAGTTATATGGCGCCTTTATAACGTAGCCCGGGCCCATGATGCGAAAACTATTAAGTCCGAAACCTGATAGCCCCCTGCTGTCTGGATCGAGGGATATTAGAGGTAACGGGACGAGTTTCCAAGGGAAACAACCTTCTTCCATAGGGGGTTGTTTCGCGCTGGAACATCTGTCAGGCCTGTGATACCTCTTCGTATTTCCTTTGCCACGGTGCCCGGGAAATTAGACCGCTTCGACAAAGCGGAGGGCGAGGGAAAACTCGCGCTACCGTCCTCACCTTTTCAATTTTATTCCACGACGTCGCGACTCTCGAATTTATTTCGAGGTAAAAGGGAGAAGAAAGGGAAAAAATCGAGAAACGCTCGTCTCGCGTGGAATCGTTGACGAATGGTGGAAGGAAAAGACCTCGCGGAGCACGAGCGAAACGTTTCTCTAACGCCACCGCGTGTTCTATTTCCAGAGGGTCGAATCCTGGAACTCCATTCTCCGGACGGAGTGCACGAGTGTTGGTTGAGAGCTGCGGACAACACGGAGGCGAACGTGTGGTTCAACGCTCTGCACTCGGCGCTGGCAGCTCTCACTCTCAAGGCGCTGCGACTGGCCTCCGCGCTTCCGGATCCGCCGCAGCTTCAGCACATCGGCTGGCTCGCGAGGCGACACTGTCTCCAGGTGAGTGGTCTTGCTCGTTTCGTGCGCGCGTTTTTCACGATAGGGGGTGGATCATCGCGTCGAGTCGTACGCGAGGAGAGAAATAAAAAGGGGGGGACTATAAAGGGCGTTCGTTTGGACGAAAGGTAATTAAGATACAGAGAACCGAGGCACAGGGCACGTCGAGAGGGTGGGACCGGAAACGAGAATTTCGAGAGGAGGACGGGGAGAGTAGCTGGCCAATAAAGGGAGGAAAAATAAGAAGGGGACGAATCGGCGCGGGGAGATTTGAATTGACTGATAAAACAACGTGGCCCGAGCTAACGCGATGGAACGGGAGGAAATGGAAAAGAAGAAGGGGGCTGGTAAGGTATCGGTAAGGAGACTCGAGGGTGAAGGAGAGATTTCTGAAGACGGAAACGGGAGGGAAAAAATGTCGCGAGTTCGTGGGGAGTGAAGAGCGGAGTTTGAGAAAGACACGGCGGTTCGAGGGGGGCACGGAAGAGGGAGCGGAATGGAAGCGAGCGTCTGGCTCTCGACGCGTTTTCTCGCGTTCCTCGGAATCGAATAGGCTGAGACTGCTCTTTCGCGAGCAGTTTCGCTCTGATGGAGGGTGACGCGGTCCTCTCGACGAGAGCCAACCCGCATGAGCATACCGGCAATTTGCCACGATCCCGAAAGCTCAGGCGGAAGCGTCGCGACGCGCCTCAACGGCGAAATATTCTTAATCGCTGCGACGGAAAGCGGAATGGGGGACGAGGCGCTTTTCTCCGCGTTCTTGAGGATTTTGACGAACCGATGGATGTTTCGAGACGTCTCCTTTGTCGTCTTCTTTCCGAATAAAATTCAGACTCGAGAAAGTCGATTATGGCGAGCTGTTAGACGGGGAACGGCGAGTCGAAAGAACTGGAGGAGCAGATTTATGGGCTCGATCTCGAATAGTGTACCGGTACACGGCTGTTTATAGAAGTACACGGTATTCCGGGTCGTCGAATGCGATTTAAATTTCCGTTGGACGATGAAAGACGCGGATACATTGTGACAACGACTTCAAAGAATTCGGGTACGCAACGTGTGATCGTAGTTTCGAGCCACGACACTCGACACATTTTTTGAAACTCGTCGCAGCAATCTGCTATTCACTGGGAACTATGGTACCCCGAATTTACGCGTTGTAAAAGCAGTGATTTCGCGAGTCCAGTGATACAAGCGAGACAAAAGACAAGAATTAAACTGGGGATTAACCCCTTGCACTCGGCGATTTTTTCGTTAAAGAAAAATAGTAAATTATTATTTTCTAGTAATTTATATTTTAATTTATTTAATTTATTGTAATTTATTATTTTAAATTATTAAAGTAGTAAATTATTGCAGAAAAATAGTAATTCGAAGACTTTCTGCCATGAAGTCGACGATATTTTTAAAACGTAAATAGGAAATCGTATATAAATTAAGACGTAGAATTATTTTATTTCGATACTCCTCGCGTCATTGGGTAATTTTAAATTTGATATATTATATTTTCGTTTTGCTGGGCATTCTTTTGCGAAGAAATTCGTACAAATATTATTTTGTTGTGATATAAGAAAAATACTATCCTCCAATATTCAATGAAGGATATAAATTTTTCTTTTTAGTAACAGTCTTGATGCCGTAGGTCGTGATGCTTGTCTTCGTGAGATTTTTAGGTAAACCCTCTCGTGACTGCTGTCTCGGTGGTTTTATAAGTTTTGTATGTCTACTGATTGATTGGTGTGGAATGTAAGTGGTAGTGTGCGCCTTCCTATTAGTTGTGAATAATATTGGGGGTGTGTGTTAGCTTCAACGTCTTCCGGTGGTGGTGGATGTTTAAATAATTTGGAACCTTATGCCTAGCGTCTTAATGATAATATATTGACTCTTGCTAAGGTTCACCCAAGTGGTGACTACATGATAACGAAATCAAGGTCCTCCACTAAGCTAGGGCTGCAACAGATAGGAAGCAAAAATCTTAACGCTATTGGCGTGACAACACTCTCATAGGCAGCGATTCTCGCGTTAGAATTAATTTAAACGGAAAACAAAATATCCTGGATGATCGACACATCTGCCATGCTCGTTGCGTCCCAACGAAATGGGGCCCGGAGAGCAAATACGGCCATTCTCGCGTCGAGTAGTCGGAAGTATCGCAACGATTGGATAAGTAGCGGGTAGTTTCGGTTAACAAGCTCGCGAACGCGTGGCCCAGGGCGTAATGACGTGTTCGCCGTTTTAAACCATCGTCTAATTAGCCAGCGGCCTGCCGTTGGATCGCTGGCGATCTCCATTCGGCGAACAATGGCCGCCGCTTTGATCGGTCCTGTCGCCGCGATCTCTCTGTCGATCGACAATAGTTAACCCCCGCAGCCTACCAATCAATTCGTCCGTGATTACTCAACGCGATCAAACCGGCGGTGTTCCCTTTTAAATTCGTTTCTGCCGGCCGCCCCTGCGTCGCGCGCGCCACCCCTTCCCGCCCCGTTTAATTATCTCGGATACGCGACGGTTCGAGAGGCGAAACGGGATCGCTACTGTTACCGCCACGCTCCACCGCATAATTAGATATCGGGCTTCTTTCCACGGGCGTAGCCGCCACCGGGAAACTTCGTTACGACGAATATTTTCCGCGGCCGAACGCGGCTCCGTTGCATCTGGGAACAATCGCGGATAATTAAGCGACGCGATTCGTTTGCGGACCGCGACTCGAGTGCGCGCGCCAGGCTAAAGCCACCCCCTGTCTTCGTCAGCCGCGAACAGCCGATCAGCGCGGATCACTCGTCCGCGTGGTCCGGAAATTACGCGGTAAATTCCGCCGCTTTATCCCCCGATTCCAACCACTCTCGTTCTTCCGAAACGCCGCTTCGCTGCCATTCTTTCTCCGATCGTCCGACTGCCACCCCTTCGACAGGGAGTAAGCGGATAAAATTCGCAGAAATCAACTCGCACTCGTTTCGAGGTTGAAAGAGACAGAGAAACAAGCTCACAAAGCACGAAACAACCGAGCCATAAAACCGTGGCGAAGATAAAACTCGTTGCAGCAAACAGCCGGAAGCGATCTTAGCGTCCCGTAACAGCGACTTTTCCCTCGGTTTCCTCGCGCACGCCGAGGCAAATCACTCGCCACCTCTTCCACGCTTTTCCTTCTATATTCTTTGTTTTCTTATATTTTTCTTTAATTTCCACTTTTTTTCTCCCGCCTCTCTTCCCGCCGTGGAAACGCGGAGCCGTTGGAGCTAGGGGTTGCCGAATGGTAATTGGCGGGGAAAGCCCGTACGCGCGGCGACTAATTGTCGCCAAGTCGCGGCTTAATTATCCGGAACGATCGGGGATCGTTAATTACAGGCTTTCGTCGCGAGAGGACAAACCTGGCTGATTTGTACCCTCTCCGTTTGAGGGTACGCGGCGGGTTCCTCCGAGACGGAGGAAACGAACCGCGATCGAACTCGCGGCTCTCTGTTTGCCTTCCCTCTCGGCTCGCCATGGATTCTTTCGTTACTTCGTTTGCTTTCGTGCCCGGTTCGATGGCCAGGAGTTTCTTAACGCGCTCGGGGTGTCGGTGGAAAATCAAGAGTTTCCACGCCCGCCCGGAACCTTCGAGCGGAAATTCGCGTTCGGATATTTAATTGCGGGGAGCTCGCAGTTCCGTTTCATTCGATTCGCGCTCGTTGTGTTATTGTAAGTACCCGGAATTAATAAACGCGATGATCCCGGCGCTCGGCAAATATCCGAGAAACCGGAGTAATTAACGGCATAACGAACCGGGGATGTGGATAATTTCTAACGCTCGCTCGATCGCGTATTACACGCGGCTCGGGTTACACGCGAGCGTATCGCGTTGCGAGAGCAGTTTTGCGATAAGGAGATTGATCGCCGTGTAAAATTGTTTTCCCTCGAGTAGCAAGGGTTCTTTCGGGTGGTCAGTCGCGGCGGGGTTGAAATTGATAGGTTGATAATACGATTGCAGTGCCGTGATGTAGTTGTTCGAGATTGATAAACCGCGGAACGTGTAATTGTCCCAGGCACCACTTTTCTGGCCCGCGCGGGATTATCAAATGATTTAAACCCATTGTAAGTCGGAGTGCTAATGGGTAATTGCGGGTAATTTGCACGAGATTGCACTTGCAGCGAGTTAAAGGCTCGGCAAAGTGTTAAGGAACTACAGACTCCTGGTTGCTAAAGAAATTCTATTATTCTGCTCGTTAAATCGACGCGATCGACCACTAAAAAGCAAACCACCAGAGTTTTCTTGATTACGGGGCTGATTGTATTCTTGGTTAAACGACCCAAGTTTGAGAAATTTACGCGAAATTAATTTCACGGGTAAATAAGTGCCTTTGGTACCAAAATGGAAACGGAAATTAATAAAAATTCTCGTACTTATAATTATGGAGTCTCTGAAGTGTCAAACTCCTCGAATTTCTAGTTGAAATTCAATTATCAGCGAAACTCCTCGGTCGTCGAAATTATTTCCGAAATCAAACACGAAATTTGGGGATTTTAATCGTCTAGAGAATGTCAAAAAATACTCACAGATGTCTAAAATTCGACGCTCTCTCCCCTCTCGGGTGTTCCAAAAACGAGCAGCTGTCCGGGAGAGTATCTAAACAAACCAAGGTTTGCCCGAATCGGCGCAAACATATATCCATATCAATCTCCCCGGTCAAATTACCGATCACGGCAATGTTCGCAATCGCGCGGAGACGCGGCCTACAAACTAACCTGCCGAATACATCGACTGGTGGATCCGATAGATCGATAACTAATATATCCGATGTACGCGAACGGGTATCGATGAAGACCACCCCGACCAACCGCCAAACGAAGGTGCTCAGCGAGGGCGGCAGGGGGCGAAGGGTACACGAGGCACCCGGCACATAATTGATTGGCATTAACGTACCTGATTGCCAGTGCCTCGTCCCCCACGGTCCTCCTCGCCCTTGGGAACTATCCCGCGGGGTGCTTGGATATCTGTCGTTGTCTCTGGGACGACCGACGATGTTTGA